CCCCTGTAAGGGACGTGAGAGAGCCTGTCCCCCCCCTGCCCCCCGCTTCTGCCATATGAGAACACACAAGATAGCCATCTGCAAACCAGGAAGACAGCCCCACCAGGAACCAGGTCGGCCAGCATCTTGATCCTGGACTTCCCAGCCTCCAGCGGGGTGAGAAATGAGCATCGGAGCCACAGCCCGTGCGTGGTCTCAGCAGCCTGAGTGGACCGGGGCAACAGTACAGATCCTCCTGCGGCCCAGGCACACCAGCGCACGGCCACACGCAGAGGCCAGTGAGAGAAGCTGGAATGGGTGCGAGAGGAAGGGAACCAGACAAGCAAGGACAACCGCGAGGACCTCTGGTCTGGACGACTGACGTGGCCTACATGCTGAGCAGGAGGTCTGGGGGTGAACACAGTGGCCAGTGGCTGTTAGATTAGCTGGAGACATGCTGAACTCAAGGTGTGTCTGGCGGACTTGAAAGCGGAGATCTGTCTTCCAGTTTGGGCGCCTGCCTCTGAATTTGGCAGATCAGATATGCCCCCCAAATATCAGGTAGTGGATGGACAGATGGATGGATGTGAGGACAGATGGACAGACGGGGGGATGCATGCATAGGTGGACGGATGGATGGACAAAGGGATGAAGGGCACTCTCACATCAGTTCCTTGTACAGCCTTGCACTTTGGCTCAGCTCCCACCCACCGACCTTTCTCTGCTTCTGCCACTTCTCCCAGAGACCCCACAGATAACCCCCTATTTCCCTCCCTGGCCCGCGTCCTGCTGCTGCACCCTCTGGATGCAGTGCTACCTGCTGGACTGGCATCTGAGTTGTCACTTATCTGCCCTCACCCTTGAGTCCCTGCTTTGCCTAAGCGAGGGTTCTGGTTTGCTGATCCAACTCTTCCCCAGCTGGGGGATGCTCTGCTGCCAAAAGAGATGCTATTCAAACAAGTGGATTCATCCACACATTGGGGCTCAGCAAACAGCACCCGCCCAAGCACAATGACTCAAGCTCCTGCTTCTTGCACAGCCTGCTTCCTGACCGCCTGCTTCCTGACCACATCTTGCCACCTGTGCTGTGAGGCTGCTTCTGAGACCATCCAGTCCCCTAGTGTCTTGCCAATGGGTTTCAGCCCCAGGCAAGTTCACTATGGATTCAATGTGACCAAAGAAATTGACAGCAAAACGTTCTTGGGGTGAAAGGGTTATACCCAACTTTATTTCCAGGTGGCAGTTCAGTCACTAAAATTCGGTTCACTCAGAGCAAGTCTGCATGCAGCAAGCTGGTCTCTGCCTCTGGGCCCCTCTGCCGTACAGCCGCCCCACACAGCCACCCTCCGGGCCTCTCTGCACAGTCGTCTTGCACAGCCGTCCCGCACAGCCGTCCTCTGGGCCTCTGTCCTCGGTGCTGCCACCACTCCAGCTTCTGCTCTGCTCTCCTGCAGCCTTGTAGCCCTGCCACTGTGTCATGCCCAGAGCACTGGGCAGAGCTCTTTTTAAAGAGTTAACAGCCATGTGTGCAGTGAGCTAGTCAACCACAGTCAGGTGAGAATCCTGGCCACAGGAACTCTCATTTTATCCACACCTGGCTTCCTGACTCTGGCTTGCTCACTGCCCAGGCTCCTCTGAGGGGTCCTGCTGTGGCCCCCAGCACTGCTGCTCCTTTGTCTGTGGCCCTCAACCTACTTTCTCAATAATTGGGTTCTTAACCAGCAGGCAACATCCAGGACCCTCAAGGCTTGGGATTCCTCTTAACTTTGAGGGTAAAGACCTCTTTGGGGATCTGACAAAATTATGGACTGTTTCCCCCAGGAAAACACACTTGAACTACAATTGTGTATACATGCTCCAGGGTTCCGTATATATATGCTAACTGTATACACATGAATGAATCCCAAGGATGTCACTCACCTGGGCCCCTCCCCTGAACTTCAGATGCTTACACACCTGTGCTGTCTGGTATAGCAGTCGGTAGCCACATGTGGCTACTTATGTTTAAATGCACATTAATTAGAATTAAATAAAATCTAAAATCGGGCACCTTAATCACACTAGCTTCATTCCAAGTGCCCAAAAGCCACAACAGCCAGTGGCCATCATGTCCTTGGACAGCACAGATGTTGGGCATTTCCATCATCACAGAACATTCCACCTGGCAGTTTGTTGCTATGTATTAATGCTGCTGGTCATTTCAACTTGAACGTCTGATAGGCCACTCACACATACGCTGCATCAGTCATCTGTCCTGCAGGGATGCTATGGGACAACGCTAAAACCTCAGTGGCTTCCAGAAACAAATATCCTCCCAGCTCCCTTGCTTGCAGGGCCCCTGGTGGCTGATTCCAGCTGCAGGTGTGGTCAGCCTGTCCCACGTGGTTCTCATGCAGGGCCCCATCAGCAGGGAGCAGACACCTGAAACCTGCTCTTTCAGATGTGGCTGGCATTATATCCTCTCACATTTCATGAGCCGAATCGAGGTGCAGAGCCAAGTCCCAAAGCCGTGGATGGGTCATAACGTGTCCTCTGCCTGTGGGGACCCAGGGGCAGGCAGGTAGGACAGGTGAGGTGAGGTCATACAAAGATAACCCCATCTCCCAGGAGGCCAGAACCACCACCCCCCAGGGCCACTCCCCCTCAGCTCCTGCTGGATGGTATGTGTGGTGGCGTCAGAGCTGGCAAACCAGCTCCCCCAGCAATGAGGTGAATCGTCCGAGCTCCTTACAATCCCTTTGAAGCACCAGGAACACACAGCTTAAACAACAGACATTCATTCTTTCTCCGTCCTGCAGGCTGAACATCCAAGACCCAGGTGCGGGCAGGGCTGGTTCCTCTGAGGCCTCTCTCCTGGGCGTAGAGACTCCACCTCCCGTGTCCTCATGTGGTTGTCCCCAAGCCCACCCCCGTGTCCCCCCGTGTGCACCCTTCTCATAACCTTTTCTTATAAAGATACCAGTCAGATTGGATCAGGGCCCACCCTAGACATCTCATTTTAACTCACCTCTCTCAAGACCCCACCTCCACATCACATTCTGATGTGAGAGTGAGGGCTTCCACACATGAATTCAGGGGGACACAGTTCAGCCCATCACAGTAGCCGTGGTGTAACTTGCAGCCCAGGGTTCTGACAACTGCACTGGCCCCCAGCACTGCTGCTCCTTGGTCTGTGGCCCTCAACCTGCTTTCTGCAATACTTGGGGTTCTTAACCAGCAGGCAACTTGCTTTCTGCAATACTTGGGGTTCTTAACCAGCAGGCAACTTCCAGGACCCTCAAGGGCGTGGAATTCCTCTTAACTTTTGAGGGTAAAGACCCCTTTGGGGATCTGACAAAATATGGACTGTTTGCCCCCAAGAAAACACACTTACCTAAATTAAGTAGGCCTCACTTCTCCCCTGCCTACCTCCTCCTCTAACCCCTTCTCACCCCTGCTCTTGTGCCCCTCACATCCGGGCAGGACTCTGATGACATGCCCCCTGAGAGTCTCGTCCCTGGTTATCCAATCAAACACCCAGATAAGGACTGCAATGATGAGACTCCACTGATGTAACGAAGGTTGCAGGCCTTAAAGTGGGGAGATTATCCAGGACTATGCAGGTAGGCCCAGCCTAGTAACTGGAGCCCTTAAAAGCAGAGCAATGCCCCTGACTAGAGGCAAAGGTCGACGAGACAAGAGGCCCAAAGCATGAGAACAACACAACCCAGTCTCTGAAGGGAGCCGTAAGCCAGGCAGCACAGGTGGCACCTAGAAGCTGACCCACTGCCAGCAAGGAAATAGCAAATTCAGCCCTCTTGACTACACGGCCTCAAGTCCTACCAACAACCTGAGTGAGCCTGAAAACAATTCTTCCCTGGAGCCCCCCAAGAGTCGGGTCTGGCCAGCCCCTTGATTGCAGCCTTGAGGGGTCCAGGGTGGAGAAGCCTTGGAGACTACCAGATTTCTGAACTGCAGAACTGAGATACTCAGTACGGCAACAATAGGAAACTAACACACCATCCTTCACACAGCCCTGGGTGATCCTTCTAAAGCACCAGTGTGAAAACAGCTCCCTCTTGAAATTCCCCGATACCCACCACCTACGGTGGTTCTCAAATTGTGTCCAAAGGAACCCCAGGGAGCCTCACAGCGGCTTGAGATTACATAAGCATAGGATTATCATGTCTTCACATCCACCCATTTTCAAACCTGTTCTATATCAAACTTGAACACACTACAGACTCCCAAAATATTAAAACATTTATTCCAGGATAACTTATTTTTGTGCAGTCTTCATCCCAGAATAAAACCGGTGTTGTTCATCTATTTAATTATCAAGGCCCTTATGTTGCAAAGCAGGATGCATTTGTCCCCTGTACTAAAGAGCGCACGCAGGCTAGCAGGCTATTGGCGGCATGACTGCTAGGAAAGCGCTCGGGGCAGCGGCCTCCAGCTGGATGGTCACAGGCAAAAGCGCAAGGCGGATGAAAAGGAGGGACTCAAACCGTATCTTCTTGCTTCAAAAAAATAAAAACAAAATAAGCTAGAAAAATTGGAAATGGCCACGTCTGGAGCGGCAGGGCCTCGCGTTCCCTCGGTCTGTGACCCGAGCTCGGGATTTCAACGAGAGCGCGCCCCGGGCGCTCCCGGTGTCCCCAGGCCCACTGCGGCAACGGCTCTGCGGGCACCGCCCTCCGAAACCCGTCGGGCCTTCGCGAGAACGGTCCCGAGGGCAGCAGGGGCGGGCATCTTCGCCCGCGGCGGGGGCTCGGGAGACGACGCCCCCCGGAAAGCAAGCACCTGCAGGAGGGCGCCCGCGGAAATCGCCAGCGGCCCCGGCGCCTGCGCGGAGATGCCCACCCGCGCCCGCTTCTCCTCCGCGCCTACTTCCCCCGGGACGGTTGGCCCGCGCAGCTCGCCGAGGCGGGCACCGGCAGAAGGTGCCGGCGGGCGGCTCGCGGCTCCGTGGCGGAGAGGGCGGCACTGCCTGCGCGCTCCAAGTCCCGCCCACGCGGAGACAGCGCCTCGCCCGATTGGGCAGAGCCACACGCCGCCGGAGCGGGAGAGCGTCGTCGCGTCCGTGACGTGTCCCGCGGGCGTCGGGCAGGGACGGCGGCGTCGGCAGCAGTGTCGGCGGCGGCGGGTGGGAAATGGCGGAGTACTTGGCGTCCATCTTCGGCACCGAGAAAGACAAGTGAGTGAGAACCGCCTTCCGGGGCTCGGGCCGGGAAGACGGGCGAGCGCGGGCGGGCGCGGCGGCGGGGCCGGGGCTGCGGCGGGCAGGCGGGCGGGGGAGGGGCGCGGCGGCCCTTCCGGCCTCGGAAGCCGCTCGCCGCCGCCTCGTGGGCTCTCGGGCGGGCGGCGGGCTTCCGCTCGGCGGCGCGGCGCGGTCTCGGTGGACTGGGGTTCCTCGGGGCCCGCTCGCCTGTGGGCGACTCCGGGCCCGCGCCCCCGGCTCTCGGAAGCGGTCTCGGGTTGTGCTGAAGTTGTCAGTATTAACCGGGTTCTCCAACTTTGAGCCTTCAGTGTCGAGTAGGGTACGCTGGGGTACAAACCTCGCCCCTGTTAAGCCGTTAGGTAACTTAAGGTTCTGTTAGGGTTGTATCCGCTTAACAAGCCTTTTGCGTGTTTAAGCTATGATCGGGCCGGTCATAAGAACCCTTGATTGGACTGGGTTAAGTAGTCATAAAAGACGTAGGCTGCTTTTAAGATGTACAATTCAAATATATGGAAAAAGGTATCCTCCCCGCCCTTTTTAAGATTGCATGCCTTCCCCAATCGGGTTAAAGGTAAAATTTTTTAAATTTTATTTCGTCACCTTGGCATGTATTCATTTCCAGTGGATTGAAGTTTAGACTACTGGAAATGTTTTCGGACATTTGGAAGATAATTCTTACTTTGAAAATCTAAAGACTAAGCATCTGGCTTGATCTACTTTTTGAACAGTGTACCATCTTGGCGTTCTTCACAGTTGTACAAGAATTATGTGAATATACGTTCGTAACGGGAAACCCTAAGTTTGTCACAATGTTTCATACCACTTTTTCAAACGCTATTTAAGTTGTTTCTGTTTTACAGGGTGCAGTCTGGTAAAATGTCTTACACGTGATAGACTCTCCTGTGTTGCTTGGAGAGGGGGTTATATTTTTTCTTAGCAAAAATCACAAGAGAAAGTCATAATCACTCTAGAAGTATTTATTGGATGTCATGCCAAAGCCAATTTCTGGGGACTCAAAGTGGATAAAATCTAGATCTTGTTCTCAAGGAATTCAAGGAGAGAAGGGATACTTGTCCTGTAAAAGATACCTCTATGCGTTAAATTTAACTGAAAGGGGTTTAAATGCAAAAAAAAACAAAACGTGTAAACTGTTGTGGAAGGGGTGTGCTCCCTGGATGCTGTGGGCTCGCAGAGAAGGCATTTGGGGGAACGTGCTTTGAAACATGATCTTGAATGAATGGATCAGATGTGCTGGGAAAAGAGGCTTCTCTGAGCATAAGCTGAAGTACATGTGTGGATAATTTCACCCTTTAGCTTATTTTCCTATGGGTCCTGTTTTCTGCTCCATGAGGTTTATTTTCCTTGTTCTTGTAAAAAGCTATGTATCAGGTGGTATCTTCACTCTTATTCTATAAAACTCAGAACTTTATTCCAATAACATTTTTTATATTCCTGCTATACATAACCACATTTCAGCCTGTCAGAGCTATATGGTAGAAGTCATGACTTTATTTCAGGACTAGATTATTTAATCCAGGTTACTCATATTCTCATTTTAGGGAGATGGGGGTTTTAGTTGCCAAGAAACCAATATCAACTCCTAAAAAGTGATGATGATGATTCTTGGTAACTTTTAAGCTAGAGGTAAAATATGTCTCTACAAATTAAAAGTAGGTAAATTATACTTTCAACATTAAGGACATTTTCTAAGTGCAATTATAGATTAATCTTTCTAATATGTAATAGTCACACCTTTTATATCTTTTTGTTTTATTTCAGTAGTTTAATAAACATCACTGAAGTTTATTGCTAGAAAAGTCGGGACTAATACACTAAACTCAATCATTAACTGGGCAGTATGAAATGAAAGCTATTTCTGGAAGTGCAGTAACAAGGACTGTTTTAATTCCATAGAATAGTTGGATATTAATTTGTTCAGGCAGGGATTTTGCCCATTCTGGGTATTTTTTAAGTAAACTCTTTTTTTTTTTTTGAGTGGACTCCCTGAAGACATAATGTTATATATATACAAGTTAGATGATCTAAACTAAGATCTAAAAGTTTGCAAGTAAATACATAATAATTATTTTCCTCTCCTGATAAATTCAGGTGTTTTCATCTTTATTGCTAACTAATAATAAATTAATAGCTAGTTTGATCTTCATGGTCCATCAGATTTCATTGAGATCCTTCAGTCTTCCCTCTGGATTGGCTACCTAAACATGGCACTTGCTAAAAAAATGAATCTATAGGGTAACCTTCCTGCCTCTGCAAGTCTAAATTTGAATGGGACCCATCTAATAAGATTTCATAATCCATCACAGATCTTCCAAGCCACCTGGTACTGCTGTTACACTGGCTGGATTGCTAATTTTGATCTGAATTGTCTGAGTATTTAACAGTATTAAGGGACGGCTTTTCTTTGGTGACAGAAGATGACCTTAGATAGTTCTACAGGCAGGTTGAGTTCCCTACTGGGTCTTCTCAAGTGTATTTAAACCAAGAGAATTACTACTTTAGGCCTATTTTTGGATGTTTGCTATTGGTCTAGTGTCATTGTTGAGAGGAGCTAGAGTTTGTTTTTTTATTTAAGTAATTGCATTTAATGAGCACTGTGAAGGAGGCTCCCGTGCATTATGTCCAATCCTCAGGATAATGCCAGGTTGGCATTTTCCTCATTTTATAGATGGCCCCTGAGACCCAGAGAGGTGGGTGGCTTGCTCCAACCCACTCAGCCAGTAGCAGAGTCCGGATCTTGACCCTCCCTGCACTGCGTTGGTGTCTTTGAGAGAGGGGAAGACTAGAGAACAGAGATTCTAAGTGAAATTCAGTCTTAGACTCATTCAATACATGTTCAAGAGAAAACAAGCGATCAGTGAAAGTAGTTGAAAGGAGGGGGTTTGAAAGAGAAGGAATGGGTAGAATTAGAGCCCTTTGCATTGACAGCGGTGTATTTGCAGTGAGCCAAGTGAAGCTAAGTGGTCCTAAACCACTGGAAGGGGGAGGGTCTTGCCACCAATAAAAAACCACATACCTATGTTTTTGTGAAGTAAAAGAAGAATACTTTGATAGCCTATATCATGCTTATGTATCTCCTTCTGTTGGTTATTGTCTCAGGAAAATAATCAGCTCTTATTTTCCTTTACAGAGTCAACTGTTCATTTTATTTCAAAATTGGAGCATGTCGTCATGGAGACAGATGCTCTCGGTTGCACAATAAACCGACCTTTAGCCAGGTTTGTTTGTTTTTCTTTTTTTTTTCTGTTTTCATGTAAATTATCAAAACTTCATGTACTTTACAGAGGCAGTTAATAATTCCCATGTGTTAAGCAGGTCACTTTTTTTCTCTAGGTGTTTTATTTTCCACTCGTGTTCATAAGTGAATGTCTTATTTAAATGATTTTTTTTTTCTGTTTTCATGTAAATTATCAAAACTTCATGTACTTTACAGAGGCAGTTAATAATTCCCATGTGTTAAGCAGGTCACTTTTTTTCTCTAGGTGTTTTATTTTCCACTCGTGTTCATAAGTGAATGTCTTATTTAAATGGGAATGAGGCAGGTGAACCACCCACAGTAGAATGTATGAGAGCACCAGTTCCTCTTCAAAGTTCTTTTTAAAAACTTTAAAAAGAGGTTTTAACGTTTGCATGTTGGCTGTGACTGGCACTCTCTGCCTTGTCACCTTCCCTGCCCCTCTAATAGACATGGGTCCAGAGGGGCAGCCACACCAGCATTGACGTGGCCTCTTTCCACTCTTTCCGGTAGGTGCAGAGCGGGCTTTCTGCCCTTTGCCCTCTCCAGGCAGTAGAGGTGGCCTGTCAGCAGACCCACCATGCTGTGCACTTGGGTCCCTGGTTCTCCTGGGTATGTCCTCTATAGATCTCTAGTTGAGGGAACAGCAAGTTGCATTGTAACACAGAAACATTAAAAATTAAACTTAACATTGGACATTTATTTTGTTATTTGTAGCCATTCCGTTCAGCTCATAGACCAGTACCTGTTCTCTTGGGCTTAGCTCTGTTGTGAGTTCAGATCAGTCAAAAATAGTGATTTTTGATGTTTACTTTTGGTTAATTGAAGAAAAGGCAGGGGTTTGCACCCATGCATGATCACTGACAAATGAAAGGGGGAAAGCACCTCTCATAGGAACAGAAGACCCCGCCCATGTTTACCCAAACATTGGGAATTAGAAAAATCTACATATTGGTCTTTCTAGACTGAGGTCTGTTGAGCAGCTCCTAGCCAGCCCTAAGGTCTGGGTGTGAGCCGCTGAACCATGGGGTCACTGTTTTGTGTGGCCCTTGGAAGTTGCTGGACTCTGCCCTGGAGCGCACATCTTTCTGTTCATGTTTTAAACTCCTAACAGAGCAGACATTATGTTTTACTATAAGTATTTAGGAAAATCAGCCAATTGCTGTAAGAAAGAGAGATTAGTATTTTCTAGTTTAAGCCCATAGAAAACCCCATAGTTTAATGTATTTTTAGAAGGGGTGGTGATGGCTTCCTTCCCCCACTACCCCGATGGCCAAATGGTTAGTATAACAAGAATCTGCCTTTTAATGGTTTTGAATATATCTGTTCTTTGAATTTCAAAGTATTGGAGAACTTGCTTTAAATTGTCTGCTTACTGTAAATTTTTTTTTAAGTGCTTTGACTCATGAACCAAATCTCCCCAGCAATCCAGTGGCTGTAGATTGGGCAGTAACCAAGCATCTTAAGTGGCCACTGAATTCTTTGATTGGAGGGGCATTACTTGGAGATGTACCAGGTGTTGGGCTGAGAAATTGTCCCTTTACAGAAGTTTTCTCTAAGCTACCCCAGAGATGCTTGGTTTGTTTTCTTTCTGGGTCCATGACTACCTCAGCAGTTAATATGAGTATGTGGGCAAAACAGGGCGGTGGTTCCATCCAGTTGGGTGGGTGAGTTGTAGGTGTGAACATGGGTATCATGCTTGGATTTGCCTGGTTGGGTGGTTGGTTTTAGGTGGTCCTGCCCACCCCTGATTTTAGTGGAACTGCATTGCTCCCTTTAATTAAACAGCCACTGCCAGATGGCCTGAATGAGACCAAAAATGAATTTCCTATTGTGACTGGGCTCAGTAAAACTTACGCCAGAGTTGTCACACACTTGTGATTCCAGCTGAAAATTGAGTCAGGTCAGCTTTGGGAAGCTTCCAAGGCCTGAGATAAGTTGACTCCGGGCAGTGCTCACAGCTGGGAGAAGATGCCAGGCCCTGAATGGAGGGTCTGCATGCCACGCCTGGGCCGTCTGGCTTTTGGGCGCTCCTCCCAAGCGGGACTCCTTTCCCGCAGCAGGCCTGTGCCAGGGGGGTACCTACACGGCCTCTCCCCTAAAACATAACTAGAAATGGGGCTGACTGGTGTCTGTGAAACCACTTATAGAAGGCTTTGACAGGTGTTGAGACATTTTTCCTAAATCATTTGGTTTATTGGTTCAGCCTGTAAGTCTCTGTGGGTTTCTTTTTAAGCTGCTTGCAGTGATGTGGACATTAAGATTCATGTACTATATTAGCCTACTAACTTAAACATGGTTTGTTTTTTCAGACAACTTGATATTAAGAAGAACGGTACAATGTAAGGTTTCAAGTCTGCCTGATCCAGTTTAAAGCACAAGGGCTAAAAGGATTTTTCCCTTAAAAGAAGGATTGGAAAAGAACAAATGTTTAAGCTATTGTATTATGTAAACAGAGGTCCTGCCAAGCAAATGTAACGTGATATGTGTCTGTGATGCTCAGGAAACCCATTGGGTGCACCTGTTTCCTGCGAGACCAGAGAGCTTGATGGACTGCATACAGTTGACTTACACATTTGGTTTTTAAAAATAATTTTGTATTGGGAATATGATTATAAGGTGAATTTTTTTACATCTTAGTGGCTGCTAGCTTGAAGTATAAGAAAACGTTAGTGTTGCATTATTTATCTTGGATTAAAATACTTCAATAATGTGGGACTACTCAAAAATAATTTCTTCTTGGTTGCTGGCTGACTTGACCTAAGTCACTGCTCAAACTCTGTTTTCATAATATGATGGTTTGGGTGTATTCTTCAGAAGACAAGTGTCTGGCTTGCGGGAAACAACAAACAAGCATTGAGCCATTTGCAAACAAGTTGTCTCTTTGCAATTGTCTGATATATGCACAGCAGCCAGTAGAATTCCCCTTTTTATTTTTTTTTCCCCGCAGACCATCTTGATTCAAAACATCTATCGTAACCCCCAAAACAGTGCACAGACGGCTGACGGCTCACACTGTAAGTCCCACAGTTGGAGAAATTTTTTTCAAACAATGGTGTTTAAGAGCCCACTCTTAATTGAGACAAATAGTGTTGGCTTCTGAGCTGCTGACATAGAGCTGTTGCAAACAGGACAAGGCGATGGACCCAGGCCCTGGTGCATACAGCAAGAACTTGATAGTCGGCCACGTTCAGGAGGCTGTGCTAGGGAAGGTTGCTGGCTGGGCTGCCGCCTCTTGTTGGCATTTGTTACTGAGAAGGGGCCTGGCCATGTGACATTTGAGCATTGTCAGCCAATCATTGGTCTTTACAGTGACTGGACCCCTGGCTTTATTAAGTTCTTTCTGTAACATTAAAAATCTTAGGAGTATTTAGGAATCAATAAGGTAAGTTGCCCAATAAGTGTGGGTTTTATTTCACCATTACAATTTTTCTTCCAGGAAGTGGAGATTTCATGATATGTAATTATTGTATTTCTCTAATGCAGTAGTTTTGTCATCAGTTTAGCACTTTGCTTTCTCAGTTTGTTAAAAGTTTTCTGTAACCTCTAAGAATATTTTGGTAGTAGTCTCCCAAGTTGTTTGCACTCGTAACTGGATTGGAACTTTGAAATAGAGAGTTTTTACATTCTGTTACCAGAAATACAATATCAGCATATCATGGAATCTCTGTCATCGCAGAGTTAGGGTGCTCCAAGACAGCCATCAGCTAAAGAGAACATCTCTGCTTCAAAAGAAAATAACTTACTCTTTTTTCAGCACTGAGTCTTGACTGAAGTGATCGCCACAGGAAACCGGTTAAGTGTTTAAATTTAATTTTCCATAATATAAAGTTGTTGCGTTTTGTATTTCAGACCATTGCCCTCTTGAACATTTACCGTAACCCTCAAAACTCTTCCCAGTCTGCTGACGGTTTGCGCTGTAAGTTCATACAAGTTCCTTCCCTGGTTCCCTGGGCTTGCGTGTCAGAGCTCAGTGTCCACTCCATCAGTCTGCCGCTGTAGTGTCAAGGACCGCCTTCGCTAGAGGTGTTGCGAGCTTTTGTCCCACTGACCCCATGGAAACCTGTTTGAGATTGGGGCTCCTGCCCACCTATTTAAGAATGAGCAAAGTGGCTGGAAAAGATGCCCTCTCCAACGGCCTGGAGCCGCTGCTCTTTCTTCCCTTATTTACCTTGACCGTCATCCCAGGGGGAGAATGTACTTGGAAGTAAATGTGGAATTACATTCTTCCCTCTTAAAAGCAACAGTATTTGAAAGTTTCTTTTACTTTAAAAAGATTGTTCTGAAAATATTTTTCAGGTTTTATTAGACTTTTTTCCTTAGACTTCATTTCGAGGTCATGGTGTAATTGTGAGAGCATCATTCAGAGGTGCTTCTCCAGTGAGGGCCTTCTGAGTTGCACTGATCCCCTGAATTGTCCTCAGCACCAGACCTGTGCCAACTATCTCCAAGTTCAGGAGCTAGTCCATTACATTTGGTGGGGAAAGAGAGCAAAACCGGGCATTCAGCACATTACCAATTTCTTCCCATAGTGGGAAATGCTAAATTTCAGTTATGCACATTGCATTTACTGCGGGGTATCTTTTAGAGAACAGACTATGTATTACTGCGATTGTAAATGTCGAGAAAGCTAAAACTTAAACTTATAACTCTTGAGCTGTAGATTCAATTTAATCCTCTGGATAAATTGAACTGAATATTGTGGACTCTTGTTAAATTCAAGGGGTCCAAATCAAAAGGTAGATGCTTCTCATTCACCCATTTGTTCAAAGCTGTAAAAATGAACAGATGGCACTCTGACAAGGCACCCCTGAACAGCCCAGACCCAGATCAAGTACCCTGGGCCTGGCGCCCCTCAGTTTGTAGGTTGACCCATACTGGGTAAAATTACCCCAACAGGCACCCCCTGGGGCCAGCTGGTAGGCGCCCTGGTTATGTGCATGGGCAGGTATGTCTGTGCACGGGGTACTTGTAAATTTTCCTGCCAAGACACTAACTGGTTTTTATTGCTAATCCTGACCTAAATAGTAGAGAGTTAGTTTCTTATCTGAACCTAGTGGTAGTGGGATTTATTTGGTAGCCCTTGGTTCAAAACACCTGGTTTTTGTTATGTTTCTTAAGGAAATAAGAAACTTCCTACTGAGGTGGAGGGGAATGTTTATATATGGACTTATTAAATAGTTTTTGTACAGCCCTGCCCTGGAGTAAAAATGAATGAAAGTAGATAACTGAGTAACAACAATTAATAATCCTTTGCCCTGATGGTCTACGTGGGGACTGCATATGCTTTATTGACAGAAGAATGTCGTGTTAGTTTCTTTGTGTCTTTATCTGCAATGCACAGTACTCTGATTTTGCGTATGCTACAAAATCAAAGCTTAGCCATACTAAATTGTCCAATTCTGGGGTCCAGATTGTACAAATTAAATGAAGTCCTGAGTTTGCACTCTAGGAAGAAAATCAATCTAAGTTGATAGAAACATTTGGCAACAAACTTTTCCAATTAAATTTCAACCAGGCAGTTCATCATTTTCCTAAAATGACTGGCTTTTTAACACATCTTTTCATCTGTAGAAAAATAAACCTCTTGTGTTTGGATTAACCTGAAATATGAATCCCAGTTTAAGAATGTTTCTGTAAGAAAACTGGGTATTTTTCAAGTTGTATTAATTAAAAATAATATATATTGAGTCATGTACATGATTTATCAGTTGACCAGTTTTAATCACTCATCTCTGCCTTTCAAGTCATTTTGCTTGACTCAACAAAATTTAAGCAGAGGGCAGAAGATAAAATGTATCAAGCATTTTCCAAAACCAACTTTCCAGAAGTTGCTGAAATACAGTAATCTGTTACATAGTAACAGGATAAAAAAAATCACCAGAACTGCTCATCACTGCTAAAATTTTGAGCATGTAAACATTTATCTCTTCTCATTTTTTTCTGGTGTGAAGAAGGAAATTAATTTTGAACATTAAAATCTGCCCTTTGGATTGGGCTTTGCTGGACTAGCGTCTCTGTTGTTTAGTTAATTCCTACTCAGGGAAGGAGATAAGTACGTTCGTGATGGCTCTTAAATTGACTGGGCTGTCAGGAGGAGGGGTTGCCTGATTCATTCAATAAACTGTGGGTTCTAAAGCAAGCTGGATTCCTGGAAATTCAGAAGTTCCTAAAATGCAGGGAGGCCAGCACCCCACCCACTACAGATTAGAAAGCACATGTCAATCATTTTCACAATCAGAAGTTTGAAGTTCTTAGCCTTAAACTTAACAAGGTTATCAAGAGAGCTGGGATGCTGCTCGAAGGCACAGTCTGGAGGGAGCCCTGTGCCACAGCCCAGATGCCCTCGGTGGCACATGCTGGATGAGGCTGCCAGTCCAGGAGTGTGGCCCATGGGTGGGAACAAGTGAGGCTAAGCTGGCCCAGCCTCGAAGCTGCTCAGGCCTTTGCAGCCTCCCTGACCATCAGTTTACTGACACACCAGCCTTATGGCTTCTCAGATTTAGGTTGAGAGAACTCTAGAATTTGAACGGTAAAGTTTGGTAGAGAGAATGACAGTGGGGATAGAATGTAAATTTGCAAAATCTACCCACAACTGAACATGATTTCACTTAGTACATGTGAATTATGAAGAATAAACCTGGAGAAGTAGTTTTGGAACGTAAAATAAGAATGCTTTCTTCAACAAAGCATTGTAACCTTCCCTTCATTCAGAGGACATTCAAAATACTGTAATTGAACTTGGTAATTACACTACTGAGTCTTTATGGTCATTTGGGTTTTAATCACATCAGAAAACTCTATAGTATTCTGTGTGGCTGATAATCTGTGAAGGAAACTAGTCAGGAACATAAGCTCTTAATCACTTACCCTGATTTCGGTTTTCATTTTAACCTAATAAAGCAGGGGAAAGCAGTGATTACTTGGCCTCTATTTTAAATCTTAAAAAGAAGAAAATTTTCATTTAAAAATTTACTAATTTGAGAGCAACTTTTTCCTCACACTTTCTGAAAATGTGGCCCTTTGATGCTGATTAAAACTTGTGATTTTAATAGCCAGAATTGAGACTGTCGTAAGGGGCATTTAAAAATCTGGCCACACTTCAGAATTTTAACAGTGAGCTGTGATGCAGTATCTCCAGTGCTTGGGGAGAAGGCAGCTCTGTTGTTTCTCTCTAGATAACCTAATGTGTCACTGTAGCAGTTTGAGTTTGAGCACAGAGCTTGTGTGCCTGGTTCCCTGTCTAACCAGCAAGACCTCTGTTGTTTGCAGGCGCTGTGAGCGATGTCGAGATGCAGGAACACTATGATGAGTTTTTTGAGGTGAGATACTATTTGAAACCAATAGACCTGTTTACCTTCTGTAGTTAGAATTACAGAAGGGGTTAAAACTTCTCCACTAGTAAAAATATTTAAACATGAATTATGTTCATTGACTTACCTTTAGTCTCTGATCCTTAAACCACTGTTCCTCCTTGCAGGAGGTTTTCACAGAAATGGAGGAGAAGTACGGTGAAGTCGAGGAGATGAACGTCTGTGACAACCTTGGAGACCACCTCGTTGGGAACGTGTATGTCAAGGTAGGGAAAGTTCACGCGTAGGAGTGGAGATAAGGATGCTCGCCTTAACTCTCAGCTGTTAACCTTGTGGTCGCCAGTGGTCAGTACTGTTCATGGACTGGGGTGCACTGGCTCAGGCCTCCACAGGCTGTGGCCCGTACATGGCCTGGGGGTGCCAGGAGGATAGAGGGCACCGTGGGCATTGTCCTCTCAGTCTCGGGTATTGTTGCAGGTTTGGGTTACAAGCTGTCTCGACTGGGGGACAGAAGCTGGTATATGTTTGTTTGTTTTTTTAAACTTTCATTACCTACACAGAGCATCCCATTTGCTCTTTTTGACCAATTGAATTTGGAAATCAAGGCGACATTTACTGTGGTGTTGGACCGGCACAGAATGAATCTAATTGTAAATACAGGCTCTTAGTTTTCAAGTTGCTCTGCATCATTCCACCTTAGTTACTTCGCACAAGCATACTTGGATCGGTATTTGAAAATGTGTCACTACAGTGTGGGTGCCAACCGTTTTTGTGTCATCTTCTCAGTTCCGCCGCGAAGAAGATGCAGAAAAGGCTGTGATTGACTTAAACAACCGTTGGTTTAATGGACAGCCTATCCATGCCGAGCTCTCCCCTGTGACCGACTTCAGGGAAGCCTGCTGCCGCCAGTATGAGATGGGGTAGGTGTCGGGGATGCTTCCCCGGCATCAGGATGCGGGAGGGACGTGACGGCGGGCGTGACGTGACAGTGGGCGTGACATGACGGCAGTCGGTTCTTGCCCACAGAGAGTGTACACGCGGAGGCTTCTGCAACTTCATGCACTTGAAGCCCATCTCCAGAGAGCTGCGGCGGGAGCTGTATGGGCGCCGGCGCAAGAAGTGAGTACAGCCATGTATGTGGTGGGCACGCGGCTGTGTTCTGGGGGTCCCAGAACGTTTTTTGAGCAAAGCTTGGCTGAAGTGTCATTTTTGTTCTTTAAAAGGCACTGCCTAGAATGCAGTGCATATTTTAAAATACAAAAATGGGCTTCTTAAAGAAGAATTTCCCCTGTACACACTTTCCTGCTTCTCAGGTAGGGATCAGATCTTCGGAACGAACCATAAAAATCAGGTTCATGCGTGCAGTATTTTATTTTCTCAGGCCTCATAACTTCCCTTACAGTGTGTTTCTGTTGGGGTGTCTTGATCTGTGTTGATCTGGGCACGGGCCTTTGGTGGATGTCGGGGGGGTGTTGGCAAGGCCCCTGTGGCCCACAGCAGAATCAGGTACAGCCTGCGTCTGTCTAGTCCTGGTGTTTAAATGCAAACCGTGTGCCACAGGGCAGAGAAAACCAAGACATCAATATAAAGAATCACTTGTTCTTCCTCAGGTGAAGCACAGGCCCCAGAGCGGTCCTCATCCCTCTCCTGTTAGACACATACCAGCAAATGCAGACGTTGTTGGTGATTCTGTTTTACTGTCAACAAAAGGCATGGGGGGGAAAGAACCCCGTTCTCCCCTGCAAAACTGGCCTGATGGACACAGTTGCTAGTGAGCGTCTGAGGGGAGGAACCTGTGTGTGTCAAGGTCACCTTAAATTTAAATCTTGATTTCTGTGACTGCTCGAGTGGGTGCTCCAGAGGCAGCCGCCACAGCCCGGGTGTCCTCCCCTCCAGGCGCCTGCCGCTGGCAGTCGCACAGGGGTCAGGGTGCCCCTCGGTTGGTGCCGGCCGTTCAGTGAGCGTGTTTCTCTTCCATGAGTGTCACTAATTCCGTGAAATCCATTGTAAAACATTGGCACCGTGCCTTCTGCTGCCTCCTTGGTGTGAATGCCATGGCTTTGTGTCTCTCCCTCCATTGCAGGCACAGGTCCAGGTCCCGGTCCCGGGAGCGTCGCTCTCGGTCTAGAGACCGTGGCCGCGGTGGTGGCGGTGGCGGCGGGGGACGAGAGCGCGACAGGAGGCGGTCAAGAGATCGTGAAAGATCTGGGCGATTCTGAGCCATGCCGTTTTTACCGTATGTCTGCTAGAAAGTGTTGTAATTGATTGACCAAACCAGTTCATAATGGGAATTTTTTTTAAAAAACAACAAAAAAAAACAAAGATGGGTTTCTGAATAAAATTTGTAGTGATACAGTATTCGTGGTGTAAATTTTTTCTGGCGGGAAGTCTTTCCTGTAAATCCGTCTTCCTTTACAGGCCTGCACATCGTCCGTCCTTGAGGTAACGATCAATATCCATCATCACTTTGTGTGTTTTTAAACTTAAAACACCCGTCCAGTGAGGGGAATCCCTCTGGGGAGAAGTCCCACCTACCTGGTGTCTGTGGTGACAGGTACCCAGTGTCTCTCCCCCAAGCTGCTGTGAAGCCTGGCCTGGGCACCTGCTGTGCACCCTTCCTAGTTTTAAATAAATGCTCAGGTGTAACTGTGCACCATGCTGGCATCTGTAGGAAAGCCAGTCTTGATAAAATGCAGTCAGTCAACCCGTCAGTGTTACGTTTTTTTCGTCTACTCATGAGTTTTCTAGTTTTCAAGAACTGCCACACCTTCCTGAATGTAAGTGGGACATGAACCCACTGTCTGTCTCTGGGTCGCACTGTCGCTGATGCTGCAGCGTGCAGCTCATATCCCAGCTGGCAGTGACACACATGGCCTTTCTGCACACCCTCCTGCCCTGTACTGCTCCCTGCACTGTCTGCATCTTGAGTGCTTGGAGCAGTCTGGGTGCAGGGAGCTGTCACCCTGTTCCAGGTCACACTCGCCTCAGCTGGGAGCAGAGAAGGTCATGCCTAAAGGCAGACCCAAACAGGACCCCAAACGCACGTCTCCTGCCCTGCTGGGCATTCGTGTTCCATCATGGGACCCCAACACAGCATCAGCGAGCATCTGCCCCGTGTCCTGTTGGCAGCAGCAGGAACTCGGAGTGGGCATTATCTCCGTTCTTGGTCTAGGAGGATATACCTCTGTGCCTAACTGCAGGCCTGGGTGTTTGGAAGGAAGCGTCGCTTCATCTGTTTGTCTTAGGAAAGTGGTTTTGTGGTGAGATTGGAAAAAGTGATTGTAGTGGCTGAGCAAGAGTTTTGTTCAGTTTTGGGGTCTGCTAAGATGAAGTTTCATGTATTTTTGTGCTGGTGGGTAGGTGGGTTTGAAGAAAGCAGTGGCCATTTTGGGTTGGTGATCTTGTTTAAATCCTTTTAACTCCAGATCCCTGGACAGTCAGTCCCAGCGCTTCAGTTTTTCTGCCTAAGTTTGATCTAAGTTGTGCAGATTGCATCATGTCTACTGTGTCTCGGGGAGGAAATATGCAAAGATTTTCTTTGTATTAACTTTCATTAGAACTCCCTTTTCCTGTGAAAGTCTATTTAAAATGTACATGAAAACCCTGTCAGAAGTGGTGTAAACAGTACCGCTGAACTTGGCTGACCAAGAGGAGCAGGAACAGTGCCTGCATGCCATGTGGGGTGAGGGTGCTCAGGTACTGGATGCCAGCTGTGTGGGCAGAGCAGCCCAGTGCAGGAGCCTGGGCGCCCTGGTGCTGAGCTGTGTCTTTCACACGGGCCCTGAGTCCAGAGAGGTCATGAGAGGTAAGAAAATCCCCTGAAAATAACCGATTTGTAACATGCTCAGGCCCAGACGGCACCCTGGGCATTCCTGTCCTGACTGCGATGCCCGTGGGGACCGCGACCGCACAGGGAGCAGCTGCTGCGCTGAGCTCAACAAGGGGCCCGCGTCTTGGCTGACTTGAGTGGGACTAGGTTTGCTTGCGGTTCTGGTGTGTGAGGTGTGAACAGTAAGCTCACTGGTTGCATGTGTGTGGCAGTTAGGAAAGATCAGTTTTAGGTGTGTGACTGATGAGTGGAGTCACCAGTGCCCCCTCACCGTGATACTCACTCCCTTGGCACTAGTATTGGAGGCGTGGTTGGCGACATGAACTGCAGGGTTTAAACTTCAGTGGTTAATGACCACTGCCTCACTTCTCAAGTCAGGATTCCTTATTTAGCAAAAGAGGATAAAACTGCAAATTATTTCTTAAAAAAAAAAGGCCTTGACTGAAAGAAAGCATGTGAGCCTGTTCTGAATAATACTGCACATCTACCCTCCAGGGCTCCGCTGTGGGCACTCAGGCTGGGGTCTTGGTGCCCAGAAGTCACGGGGACCTGGAGGGTGGCACCCCCTAACAGTGTCACTGTTTTGCCCAGTGGTTCCCAGGCTTGTGGACTTGAACAGACCATGTAAATTTTCCCAAAGACACAAACCTGGTGGCCAACATAAGGGTCTGACTTGTAACCTGCCAAGCGGGTGTTCTGTGATCGCTCTCTTCAAATTTCACCATTTAGTGAAGGAGCACGTGAAATTTTTACAACAGAAAATGTTAGACAAAAGGAGAGTCTGGGAGTGAGGCCCCAGGTACTTCAGCCTCATGTACTTGAGTCTGCACCCCTCACACACGGCGAGGCCTTCCGTACTGCAGTCTCGGAAGCGAGGCCCTCGAGTCAGCCGCTCGGCCCCAGGAACATGTCCCCACAGTGCCTGCCTCACCTCTTTCCCTGGTCTGGGTTTGGCATCCGTGGGCTTGGGTAGCACCCTCGGGGAGGCATATATGTGCCTACCACAAGTCAGCAAAATGGAATAAATAGCTGGTTAGCATTTAGAATATTCCAGCTGGCCCTTTGGGGCAAAAACAGGCAAGGCTGTACTCCGGAGCAGTGGCTGCCCAGACAGAGGAGGCGGTTCAGAAGCAGCCTCTCCTGAGAACTCTCGGGACCAGACGGGGAGCTTGGGGCCGAGTCTGGGCCCATTTGGGGCCAAGTGGGTCAGAGTCTCTGAAGGCGTCTATGAAGGCTTTGGAAGGAGCAGAAGGACTGGCTGTGAAGTCTGACTCCCTCGCCACTCCAGACAGGCAGGGGATGTTGTATCAGCCATGCCCCAAGGCAGGAGGGACCTTGTCGGATTGGGCTCTGTCACAGTGCATCCTCATAGCCTTTGGGAAACAGGAACAGCTTTGGGAACACTGGGTGAATTGACCAGGCTGTCCCTGTGTGAGTAACAGACAATACAGAGGCAGTTTCAGCCACAGCAATAGAAGGGATGATGAGTGCCCAGAGGCGGCCTGAGCACTAGCTTCCTCGGCCTGGTCCGGCTGCCCTGTGGCTTGCAACACCGCAGGGGAGGAGCATGGGGGCTGCAGCTTCTTGAGGCCTCAGGCTGACGTGGGCAGGCACAGCTGCTTCTGCCCGGAACACCCAGCATCTGCCCATCTCGTTGACCCAAACTGGTGGTACTTGTTTTCCTAATCAGAAAATGAACAGCTTCCAGACCGTTTACATGAATATGATACTGATAAAACCTCACAAACAGGACAAACTGCAGGGGAGTCGATTCTGAATGTGGATGCAAAACCCTAAATAAAGTATTAGCAAGCAATCCAGAGGCATATTGAATGTGTCAGTTAAATGGGACTTCCTCTAGGAATTCCCAAATATTTATTTGTCCTGTTCACGTTTTCTTAAACTCCCAGTTGTGCTTATGTTGCATCTCTTAGCTGGCTCCCTGGCTGCCATACTTCTCATGAGATGCGCGACTCACACAGCAAAGTACTGAAAACAAGTCACTCTAGAGCAGTGACGAGGCGGACGTCCCAGGGAGAAGCCCCGACTCCAGAGGCGGCCGCCGCCAACAGCCCACTCAACCCTCGGCTGGCCCGGCTCTCCGTCCTGGAGGGAACAGCCCTCTCCACATTTTAAACACTGCAGTGTCGTGGCCTCACTGAGCTTGAGAGTTTCACCCGCATTTGGGTGCCAAAGAATGCCATTTGGTCTCGCTTTGGCTCAGCTTGTTTGCAACATTGAATACGTTGTTGGACACACGATTTGAATTGTATCTTGAGATGTGTCCGTGTAAGAAGGGCGTAGAGTGGTTAACCTGTGGTGCTGCCCAGCCGAGAAGCTGAGAAAACAGGAGAGGAGGCACAGGGGGCAGGACCGGTGGGCTGGCTGTGCGGTGCCACCAGCCCTGACCCCTCTGAGCTGTGTCCCCTCCCCGCCTGCCCAGGAGGACTGCGCCTGCCTGCGGTGCAGAGAGCGAGGAACCCCTTGCTGGCCCTTCAAGCCATCTGATCAGAGCAACGCGGGGACTTCCTTCCACACGTCAGTGGTCAAAGCAAGTCACGTGGCCTCGGGACCGTGCGGGGGCTGGGACACGGCGGCGCACCTGCAGCTCCCGGGCCACAGCCGCTGGAGAGCAGGAAGGAGACGTGGTTTACAGGGCCTGGAGGCCCAGGGAGGCCGGAGGGCGGGTTATTCTGAGTGGTGCCAAGGGTTTGTGCAGGAGGAGGCATGTTCTGACCCCGTGTTTCAAGGAGCATCTCACGGCTGTGGGGGCCTGCTTAGCCCGGGGAGGGCCAGCTGGGGGGCCCACCGAGGATGCAGTCTGCTTGGTCTGTAAGGCCCCATGGAGGGGGCACGGTGACAGCCACGACGGCTTTACATCTCACACCCCTGATGGGCCAAGAGCCCACACCCGCTGCCGTTGGCCGTCTGCACAGCTCTCTGAAGCACCTGTTCAAGGTTTGCCCTGTTTTTAAAAATTGAGTGGTTTTCTTTTTCTTACTGATTCCTAGGAGTCCTTCACAGACTGCCTGGAGAGGACCCTTTGCTGGTGCTGCATGCGTCCCGGTTTGTGACCGGCTTCTCCCTCTCTCAGTGGTGTCTGATGAACACGTGTCCTTAAACGTGACCTGGTCCCGTGTGCCTGTCTTTTCTTCTGAAGCACCATCCTGGTTAAGACAGCTTCGCCTCCCCAAACTCCTGCTGATGCTCTGTCCTCGCCATCAGCTCTGGCGGCTCACCTTTCCCACGGAGGTCTGTGACGTAGCTTCGGTCACTTCGTGGGTGCGGGTGAGACTGCGTGACGTCCAGCTACTCCAGCACCGTTGCTTCAGTGTGAGAGCACCTTTCCCTGCCGGGATGAGGGTGCCTTTGTGGGGAATCGGGTCACCACACTATGCAGACGGGTCCCTCTGGGTTCTCCCCCATCCCGTGAGCCTCTTCCATATCCCTGTGCCCAGCATATGTTTGAAATAAGATTCAATAGGATTTGCTGGCAGGTCAGATGTGGGATGCCAGAGAAGGGGCAAGG